TCACCCGAGCCCAAGGGGTGAAGGTTGCAGTGAGCTGTGATCATGCTGCGGCTCTCCAGCCTCAGTAACAGAGCAAGACTTTATCTCAAATGAAAAAAGAAAAGACAAGACAAAACAACAAAAAACCAAGTGACTATTCCATTTAGAATCTTTTCCAGTCTTCATGATTTTTACATTCTGCATAGAAAGGTCTGTTGGCTGGGCACAGTTGCTCATGCTTGTAATCCCAGCACTTTGAGAGGCCAAGGTGGATGGATCATGAGGTCGGGAGTTCAAGACCAGCCTACTCAACATAGTGAAACCCCATCTCTACTAAAAATACAAAAAATTAGCCTGGAGTGGTGGTGGGTGGGTGTAATCCCAGCCACTTGGGAGGCTGAGGCAGGAGAATTACTTGAACCCAGGAGGCAGAGGTTGCAGTGAGCCCAGTTCAGGCTACTGCACTCTGGCCTGAGTGACAGAGTGAGACTCCATCTCTTGAAAAAAAAATGTTCTGTCAAATGTCAAAACTATTGTCTAAATTTCATCACTTGCTTAACTGGTTCATGTCTCTTTTTATTTTTTCTTAAGTTTTTCTCTTAAAAAATTAATGAATGTGGCCGGGCGTGGTGGCTCAATCCTGTAATTCCAGCACTTTGGGAGGCCGAGGCGGGTGGATCATGAGGTCAACAGATCGAGACCATCCTGGTCAACATGGTGAAATCCCATCTCTACTAAAAATACAAAAAATTAGCTGGGCATGGTGGCACATGCCTGTAATCCCAGCTACTCAGGAGACTGAGGCAGGAGGATTGCCTGAACCCAGGAGGCGGAGGTTGCGGTGAGCCGAGATTGCGCCATTGCACTCCAGCCTGAGTAACAAGAGCGAAACTCCGTCTCAAAAAAAAAAAAAAAAAAAAATTAATGAATGTTTTGTGGTAATGACTTTAAGACAGGTGGCATACAGAGCCATTGTTTTCAGCATTTGTCTCCCTAAGTTAGAAAAGATCCATCTGAAAAATTGCTTTTGCTTTCTAACTACAACCAAATTGCTTAACCAAAAAACAAAAACAAAAACACTACAATAACAACAAAACCAGTGAATTATTTGTGATGCTTTTAATATAAATGATATTTTGTTTTATTCATTTTGCTGCTAAATATCTCATCTAGAAATGGTCATTTGTAAACCTCTTTTTCTTTTTTCTGAGATGGAGTCTTCCTGTGTTGCCCCAGCTAGAGTTCAGTGGCACAATCTCGACTCACTGAAACTTCTACCTTCTGGGTTTAAGTGATTCTCCTGTATCAGCTTCCCAAGTAGCTGGGATTACAGGTGCACACCATCACACCTGGCTAATTTTTTGTCGTATTTTTGTAGAGACTGGGTTTCTCCATGTTGGCCAGGATGGTCTTGAACTCGTGACCTCAGGTGATCCACCAAACTCGGCCTCCCAAAGTGTTGGGATTACAGGTGTGAACCACTGCACTCGGCCTTCTTTTTTTTCTTTGGTTAAAAATTTGACTGCCTTTAGAAATATGAAGACATGTCAAAATTAGTTTTAGTAAATGATAGAGCTATAAAAGAGTAAAGATAAGGAAAATATTGATATATATTATATCCAGATAAAATTAGGATGGATAAAACAGTAACTGAATTGATTAAATCATAGTGCAGCTTAATAAAATAGGATAATATTTTTCATATGTGGGAAGAATAATTTTAAAGTAACAAAGTAAATTACACAAAAGATGAGTATATTTCATTAAAACATATACACACAATTAAAATATAACTATAAAAATAGATATAAAAGAATTCATAGATATTCAAGCAGTTCAAGATGTTTACAAATATACTTTTAGGCTGGACACAGTGGGTCCCAAACATTTTGGGAGGATGAGGTGGGTGGATAACCTGAGGTCAGGAGTTGAGACCAGCCTGGCCAATATGGTGAAACCCTGTCTCTACTGAAAATTAAATAAAAAACAACAACCAGATGTGGTGGTAATCCCAGCTACTCAGGAGGCTGAGGCAGGAGAATCACTTGAATTTGGGATGCTGAGGTTTCAGTGAGCCGAGAGCATGCCACTGCACTCAAGCCTGGGTGACAAGAGAGAAACTCCATCTCATTGCAGAAATATTTTTTGTTTACTTTTGTGATGGACTTTGTGCGAGGTTGTGGTTTCATTGCGAAGTATACAAGCATGAGAACCTTCTTTTTATAATCTTCTCCACCTCTATTTGTGAGACTTTTCTTAACATTAGTGACTCTATTTGGATTCTGATAACTTGTCCCTTGTCCCTTGATACCAGAATGTACTTGTCCCATCAAAAAAAAAAAAAAAAAAAAATATATATATATATATATATATATACTTTTGACAATTTACAGTGCCTGTAGAAGTAAAACCATATATTTGTAAATTTTATTTTTTTATAATATATATCATTTTATTATAAAACAAAATGATTTTAGTTAAATAATACACAAAATATAATTTGATATCTAAAATATGGAAGAATATTTTAAATGGACCCACATCTTAAAGTTGTGATTATCTTTCTTTAGTGAAATAATATTGCCACCAAACATTTCTCAATCTCTGAAAAGCCCCGTGCTTGTTTTGGAGTTTGAGGGATGACTAGAAAAGACTCATGTTTTATTTGCCATTCCCTCTACTTTAATGGCAGTGGAAGATGGCTTAGACACTTTGGAGAGAATTGTGATACAAATGGTGACTATTTGAAGACAACAAAATTTGGCATCAACTGTAAAATTACACACTTTTAACAGCATTAAAATCATGCATTTATACCCGGTTTACTTAAAACATTTACATGAATGTTAAAAGCTAACACTTTAAAACCAGGGAATTTGCTTTTAATCCCCTCTCTGGAGTAGTCTTCATACTTGATATCTTAAGAAGTCTATGAAAAAATACTTTTATCTACACTTAAATATTAATGAAGGCAAATGGCATTTTGAAAAAGAAAAAGTTCTTATACTATCTCTACTTAAGCTCACTTTTCTCTAGAAGTGTGAGTTTATAGGTTTTTTAGTTAAAACCATATGTTTTTATATTTTGTGCTTGCAATTTTAACTAAAAATGCATATGTTTAAGACTTTTGTAAAACAATCAGCCATTTATTTGTAAGTAAACTACTGAGTTTAATACAATTTAAATAACTCTTTAAAGAAGTGTCTGATATAAAATAGAGTCTCTAGAAGATCTTGTGGAATAGAGGTAGTTAAGATAGAGTTCCCGATTTCTTGATTTAATAACCATCTAAGTATCCAGAAGCTACTAGAGAGATTTCTTCAATTTCATCTTTTGTGATCTAATCTAACATATTGTTAAAAGTACATTCTCCCGGGTCACTTTGGAAGCTTCAGTTTTATCTATGTAGCATAGGTCTGAGGGCCTGAATGGACACTTATTAACATAATAGCAAAAAAATGAAAATACAGGAACAGAAACTGCTGAAGAATTTCAGATGTATAAATAATCCCATTCTATCAATAATCTTATGTCAAAGATATGGCATCTATTTCCATTTTAGTGAAGAGGGATCTGAGGTATAGATATTTTAAGTAACAAATAGTGGAACAAGGCCTTGAGCCAAGGCCTGATTCCAAAGATCTAATATAGCAAGACTGATTTACTACATAGTTGAAAAGGCCAATTTTTGTTTAATTGTAATTTATTCAAATCCCTAACTGTCCCTTGATATCTGTATGACTGAGAACAAAGCATTTGATCTTTCTTAGCCATGTTTCTTCCTCTATTAAAAAAACATAATTTCTAGTTAAAGGAGGCTATGAGAATTAAAATAGAAAATATATGTGGAATATTTAGCACAGTGTCTGGACAAACATAAACACTGAACATACGGAAGTCGTAATTATTTTAAAAATAACCTTATCTAAATTAAGATATAGAAGAAGCAATTTATTTGCCCAAGGTTGAGTAGTGTCAGAACTGGAACCCAAGTGTCTTGAATGTCAGATGCAGCACATCTCTCAAGGAAATTATAATTTTATGAATGGATTGTTCTATTTAAGATGACTCCCACCTACATTGGTAAGAGTGTTCTTATTTATTTAGTTTATTGTTGCAAATGCTAATCTCTTCCAAATACACTCTCACAGACATACCAGAAATAATGTTTTACCAGCTATCTGGGAGTCCCTTAGCCCAGTCAAACTGACACATACAATTAACCATCACAATATCCAACATATGTGTTTGAATGTTTACTTATTTGCTCTCTTCAAACTCATGTATTGCAATCCTGACCCTGAGTACTTCAGAATATGTGACAGGGCTTTGGAAACAGGGCTTCAGAATTTGGAGACCAGGCTTTTTAAAAGGCAATTAAGGTAAAATGAGATAATATGGCAGACCCCACTCAATATGATTGGTGGACTTCTAAGAAGAAAGATTATGACACACATAGGGACTGAGAGGGGATGCTATAAAACACAGGGAGATGGCAGCCATCTGCAGGCCCAGCAGAAAAGCCTCAGAAAAAAACAAACTTGCTGACACCTTGATTTTGAACTCTAGCCTCCAAGAACTGTACAAAAACAAATTTCTGTCATCTAACCTACCCAGGCTGTGGTATTTTGTGTGGCAGCCTTAGTAAATGAATACAGGAGCTATTGTATATTACTTGACTGTATCTTCAGATAGTTCCAGAGAACCCAGAAAACTGTATTCTAGGTAAAAACTTCTGAGTTTTAAATTTCAGAAGCTAAATTAAATTTATTTAAAAGATTGCAAGAGAAAACTCTGTAGTTAAAATAGAACAGGATTAATTTATGTTGTGTATATGCGACTCCTAGCACATAATAATTATTTAACAAATGTTAGTATTTCTTTGCTTCTCAGGCAATAGTAAAATTTTGTGGCAGTGTTGAAAATATAGTCACTTATCTTGGAAAAGTTCTCCGGAGTCTTAGGAATATATACCATTTAGACTGGCTTTGCTGTCTTACATTTCTGTCCTTTTCATTTAGAGCTGACACAAAAGACACTCCTGAGGACTGAGTCTGGAAAATGTGAGAAGGAAGTTAATTTTGGCAAATTTCTGAGAAATGGAAAGAAGTATCCACAAGAAATTTCATTTGTAAGAGGTAGAGCAATCTTGTTTCCTATTGAAGAGCACTAGGATGGAAACCGTGGCTAGCCTAGGTAGTTGTCTTTTATTGGAGGTCTCAGTGAACACATCAGAAAGATAGAAAGTTACAAAGGCAGACTCCTAGTTGTCAGTTTGCCAAAACTCAGACAAATTACAGGAAGCATGACTGAGAGATTCTCATTTTATTCTATAAGAAAAGGATGGATTTAGAAGGTAATATAGGAAAAGCACGGAAGACGACACATAGGAATCTCAGAACAAGCTTTGTTGAAGTCGAAAGTCTTTTTGCCTTTGGAAAAAAGCAAAACAAAACAAAAGAGGGCGGCAACTAAAAGAGTAATTCAACATCAGAGTCTCTCTTTATTACAGGCACTCTGTATTCATTAAGGCTGAGTTTCCCTCCTGGCTTGGGTTCACCATTTCCATGGACAAGGGAAAAAGTCCTATTTTCTTTCTGTTGCAGTAGAATATATTTATAGTGTGACTCTAAAATTTTTTAACTGCAATTCCAAATTTAAGAAAATATTTATATTTTTACTTTATAATTAAACACACATATATACATTGTCAATCAAAATAACAGACACAGAGAAGCTATCTAAAAATAAGATGTCTATTTGGGCATTGCAAAAAGAATATACACGCCATAGTAAACTACATGCATATCACGGAAGTAAAGAAAGACAAAGAATGTTAAAGAAAAAAATGAGAAAAATTACCTAATCATTTTGAAATGATTCTCCATTGCTTCAAAGATTAAAACAAAGGTGACAACAGTCAAATTTTGGCCACGCAGTTGCTGAGTGAGTGTCCTTGCAGAAATACTTTGTGTATACTGTTGCAATAGACTTTGTGCAAGGTTGTGGTTTCATTATAAAGTATACAAGCCTGACAACCTTCTCTTTACAGCCTTCTCCAGCTCTATTTGTCAGACTTTTCTTAACATTAGTGGCTCCATTTGGATTTTGATGATTTTCACATTTCCCCCTTTTGATCAAGATCTTTCTCTGAGAGTATCACTGATAAATTATACTATAGTTAAGATTTGTTGTCCCTTGACACCAGGATGTACCTGTCCCAGTTGCCAGTCTCATTCCACACTGAGGAGAATGATGAGCAAGTAGTAGTCAGCGTCAACATTCTTTTAGCCATATTTGGGTAACAATGGAGGTTTAAAAGGACTGGCTCTCATATTAAGTCTACTGAGAGTTCATTATTAAATCAATTTTGTCTGTTTCATAGTCTTTTGGTACCAGCTTAAAGTATAGGATCAGTATTATTGTTTTAGAAGTTGTACTTCTGCAAAAATTTAAATAATAACAGACATAAAGTCTAAACAAGGAAAATACAGTCATATTAATAATAATGTGACAATTCCAGTTTACATAATGGTTTTGAACCATACACCTAGACTTGAAGGTCACCAATTGAATAAATTGTATAAGCATAGGGAATTAGATGAAGTCTTTTGTCAGCGTGTGGCTTGTTTGCTTATTTCATGTATATGAGCGTCAACTTTTCCCAGAGAAATTTATCTAGATCAGCATGTAGTACTAGCAATAGCACATGTATATTTTTTGGAATTCAGCCGAGGGATACTGAAGGATTTCTTAAGCTAGCTTCTGTTAAGTTACCAGCAGAAGCCATTGATTATGACATTTCAATTAATTGTTATCTTGTCAAGTACAAAAGGTAGCAAATGGGGGAAGATTCTTAATGTGATGTGGAATTTTTTTTTCTGTGTCTTGAGAAAAGCTGTTTACACCATGAAAACATTAACTTCTAGTTTGTAATAAGAGTGTTTCTGGTCATGACATCAGGTAGTTTGGTGAACTTTTTATGTGGTCCATACATCAGTTACAGGGTTTGTTTCTTAAAATTCATCTAGTTTCAACTTCTATAGTGCTTTTTGTAAGAACAGAGTAGCTTTTGTTTTCAGTTAGAGAGTTGTAGCCAAATACTGGAGAAAATTAGGAAAATTCAGGGACTGATTCAGTCAAACAGTGTACAAATGTATTACAGTTTTTTTTTTTTTTTTTTTAGAAATACAACTTTCTAAAGAATCTAATAACAGGTGCATTATAGTGTTTCTTTAGAAATACAACTTTCTAAACAATCTAATAACAGGTGTATTATAGGTTTTCTTTAGAAATATAACTTTTTCTGACTGATCACGGTGGCTCATGCCTGTAATCCCAGCACTCTGGGAGGCGAAGGCGGGAGGATCATGAGGTCAAGAGACCAAGAGCATCTTGGCCACAATAGTGAAACCCTATCTCTACTAAAACCCACCCCCCTAAAAAAAATTAACTGGTCATGATGGCGCATGCTATAGTCCCATCTACTCTGAAGGCTGAGGCAGGTGAATCACTTGAACCTGGGAGGTGGAAGTTGCAGTGAGCCAAGATCATGCCACTGCACACCAGCCTGGTTACAGAGTGAGACTCCATCTTTAAAAAAAAAAAAAAAGGAATATAACTATTTTTTTTCCACATGCATCATATAGGAATCTCAGATTTAAAAACCTCTTAAGACTAGGAACCCAAACTAGGGCATACTTTAGATTTTACATAGCATCTAAAGGTTCTTGAGACTGCCAGGAAGTGACAATTTTTATTTACTATAAGGCTGCAAACTCCTAAGCTGGGTATTCTATGCACATTTAAAATTATGACATTTTAGTCGAATCCTTGGTAATATTTAATATAATCAATGTTTCTAATTGTATCCTGCTTACAAAGACAGAGAAGATTTTTATTAAACTTATGTAAATAAAAACATAAGAATATGCACAAAGAGTTTCCAAATTTTGGAAAAACCAAGTAGGGAGGAAAAACAAATTTCTCTACTCTTGTTCACAAAAGTATACTTTATCAGATTGCTTAAAACTATAGATAGCTTACAAAGGAAAATTTTCTTGAATCAGGAAAATGGTTGTAAAGAAAATAGCCAGCAATGTTTTAATTATAAGTCATAAAACATCTTCATCAATTACTTAATTTCATGTAATTAATTTATTGTCGCTTTAACTTGATTAGCGGTTATATGAATGTATCAGTTTTTTTCCAATTAGAATTCTGGAGGTTTTCACTTAGTTTCATTATTTTAAAGTTATCAGAAATATGAGTTTAAGAGTACTCGTTAGAAGAAAACAATTTTGGAATAGAGCTGATTGGAAATGCGTTTAGAGAAGAACTCAAAACAATAATTGTTCATGGTGAAAGCTTGAAATAGCTTATGGTAAAAATCTGATGAAAGTTTTCAACTGACAAAGAAATTTCTAAATTGACTACATGTAGCATTTTGAGGTAACCAGATTCATGACTGACAGTGTCACATCAGGATTATCAGATTTAATAAATTTCATGTAATCTTTGGAACATTAATGACATATCCATACAAATGTATGTATGGAAGTTTTAGTATAATTAAAATTATGACTGGTAATATAGTACACTTATGAATTTGTGTAATTTTTAAAAACATATTTATCAGCTATATAACCATAAGTGTAACTGAAAGAGTATCAAGTATTACTTATGATTTGACAGTGTCTTCCACAAAATTTATCAAATAAGTCAAATTATTTAGCATCACTGCAAGAGAAGAGATATATATACTCTGCAGCATTAGAGGCACTTAACCAGAAAATTCTAAATTTAATTTTAGTCCCAAAAGATTTAATTCAGGATTTTGTTTCTGGAGAAACATGCCAAGGATTTGAAACACTTGATCAAAACAGAATCACCTTGTAATAGAGCTGGAGGTCATTATTCTAAGTGAAGTAACACTAGAGTAAAAAAACAAAAATGTATGTTACACTAATAAGTAGGAGCTAAGCTATAAGTATGCAAAGGCATAGAGTGATATAATGTACTTTAGACACTCAGAAAATGAAGAGTAGGAGGGTGGCTAGGTATAAAAAACTACCCATTAGGTACAATGTACACTACTTTGGTGCTGGGTGCACTAGAATATCAGAATTCACAGCTATATTATTCACCCATGTAACAAAATTTGGGGTACCACTCATACCCCAAAAACTATTAAAAATTAAATTAAAATAACAAAAAGAAAAAAATGTTAAAAAATTTACAGGTTGTGTAAAATAATATTTATTTATCTAGAATTATAATCAAAAGACTTCAAAAGCAATAAAAAAAGTTATATGGATGTAGAAACATTAAGCCTCTAAAAGCTCAGTTTTCCTAAGTAATAAAAGTCTTAAAGATAACATAGAAAATTATCTTGATAAAACATGAAATGTCTTTATTTTTTGGCCGGTTACTGAAAAGATAAAGAGGTAAAGAAAAACCTTCTGCAGGACAATTGCTTATTCTAATTAGAAGCCTTCTTAAATTACCTGAAAGTCAAACCTAATGACAATGGTACTTGAATTTAATCAGATGCAAGAATAATGGGTACAGTATTGTGACTGTACATCATGTTATAGAGGAATACAGACAAGGAAAATGGTACCTTGAGCAAGGGAGTGCATGACTCTTAGTAACAACATGGGAAATTTGCTGGTTGCATGAAACTATTCAGACATATCAAGAAAAGCCAAGAATGTAGAATCAAGTTATACTCGAGAAAAACCTTCCATTTCTAGGCTTTAAAGATAAACATTTCAGTATTTGACCATAACAAAAGTTGGAACTGAGAAAAATAGTTATAGGAGTCCATGAAAAGTTTGAAGAAGAGAGTTATCACCCCAACTAAGCAAGAAGATACATAAAAGAAGACAATAATGTATAATTTGCAAATTATACAGTAAGGTAGAACAAAGTTGAACTTCTGAGATATAGATGTTAAGAAATTCAAAAAGAAACATTTCAACATTAAAAATCAATAACTCATGCAATACAACTAAAAGTAAATAAATACCTTAAGGAAAACTTGTTATAACACTAGACACAATTTTTTTTAGTTTTTTTTATTAGTATGTTTTTAATATCAAAGATCTATCTTTAGAAAGACTAATGTACATAATTGCCTTTTAATTATAACTAACTTGATCACACACATAATTCCTTTTGTAAATTTCCTTTCCATGAACTTTATTATGACTTACAGAGACCACATATGTCATGCTTAGATTTCTCTTTTGTCCTATACTTCTCTTCTTAAATAATCAATTATTTTACTTTAGGAGAAATATTTACCGTAAAGGATTCTTTCTTATACAAAATTTTTCTCTTCATTGTAACCTTTCTCACCAAAAATACATTTTTATGTCTAAAACTATCTCCACATCTCTCTCTCTCCTACTTTTTGTTTTCTTTCTATGTTGCTTCTATTTCCTTCCTAAATTTATATTCTTTTTTTGAATGGAGTTTTGCTCCTGTTACCCAGGCTGGAGTGCAATGGCGTGATCTCAGCTCACTGCAACCTCCGCCCCCTGGGTTCAGGCAATTCTCCTGCCTCAGCCTCCTGAGTAGCTGGGAATACAGGCACGCACCACCGTGCCCAGCTAATTTTTTGTAATTTTTAGTAGAGACGGGGTTTCACCATGTTGACCAGGATGGTCTCAATCTGTTGACCTCATGATCCACCTGCCTCGGCCTCCCAATCCTAAATTTATATTCTAAAGCAGCCTTCAAATAACTTCTGAATTAGAAAAAAATTATACGTTTTTTTCAATAAATATCACATTTTTATATCTTACTCATAGTTTAAAAAAATTTAACATCTTATTTTGGGGGTACACTTTATACAATTATATATAACTATATATTATATATATTTAAGACATATAAATATATATAGTTACATATATAATTTACTGGAGTAACTATATAATTATATATTTATATATAGTGTATATATTTAATACATATACATTATGTATAAATATATTGTTATATATGGTTATATCTGTAACTTCACACATATAGTTATATAGTAACTATATAACTATATAACTATATATAGCAAATATATTTAATACATATATATATATTTTATATATAAATATATAGTTATATATGTAACTTTACATATGTAGTTTTATATATACTTATATGTTATATATATTTATATATACAAGTTATATATAGTGATATCTGTAATATTTATATAGCTTAGTTATATAAAAATATAAAATTAAATATAGATGAATTAGAATTTTTAACTCTTAGTAACTTTAAAATTTGTTGAAGACATAGAAAGAAGGAAAACTTGAATTGTCTGTAACATGTAAATATTTTATAGACAAGAAGCATTTTATAATTTTAGAAACATGCTCCCCTTTAACATAATTTGTTGTAATCTTATTTGGAAATAATGCAGCAGTTAATGTTTATCTGCTATTTAATGTAACTTTAAGATTTCAAATTACATGAAAAGTTTGTTTATAAATGTTTATCTCATTTACATTTTACCTAATGTATATTTTTAGCAATATTAGACAAAGCTGGTAATCATTTTAAGTTACTTTCTGGTTAACTATTTTTATAGCATATGGAATGTGCTATTTCCTTAGGCATTTACCTAAGTACAAATTTTTTACTTGAAAACTCAGAACATACAGCTATTTTCACTAAACTAATGCTAAATAGGTCTTTACATCAAAAAATTACACAAAGATTACTCCATTTTAGGGTAGATTTATAGTTTTATAATCTTTGTCTCAAACCCTGACACCTTAAATATATAGTAGAGACAAATATAAAGCTCTCTGAATAGTAAATCCAGGTAAAAATACATTCTGAGAATTCTGAAGACATTTCTTTTCTATTTGACCAATAATGTTAAAACCAGCTTATTTATTAACAATTTCTTGGAGTCATGCAAACTAAAGGCATTTAGATTAATTACTGTATATTTTATCTTGTATATAAACACTCATTTATCCTTAAGGAATTTTTGAACAACTACACCAGCTTTGACCATGTAGACATATTATGTAATATAATACATGAACATATACACATGTAAACCCATCTAAACTTACACACACAAATAAAGACCTCACAGCTTTTAGTTTAGAATTGATAGTTTAAAAATGAAAAGAAAAGAAAGAAAAAAACTCGTCAGTTTATAAAAGACAGTTGGTCCAAATTATATTTCTGACAAAAGTGAGATCTGTTTACATGACTAAACTTTATGTGTCTTCACAGGTGATGTAATAAAGCCTATAGACTAAAACTTTGGGTAAATTTGTTTCCATGGCAGTTTCATTTTTTTTAAATGAAAAAATTCTTTAACCCTTTTTTGTAAATCAATTTAAAAGAAATTTAGAGTTAAATTTTTAAAATTTACATTCTAGCTAGGACTGGTTGAATTGATAACAAATCTATCTTTTGTTTGCTCGTATAGTTTGCTTGATTACCAAATGCAGATAGGTGAAAATTTTAGCAGTTTCTTTTCCTTCACCCTTTTTTTTTTTAGCTTCTTTATGGTGGAAAAAGAAAAAATTTATGACAGAAAGAGATGTATTATTGTGCGAAGCCCAAAATTTTGACTAGAGAGCCTAACATTTATAAACAGATATTAAGTATTTTTTAGATTATTAATTTTTGAATTAAGCATTCCATCATTGTACACAATTGGTAGATAACTATGAATTTACATGTCTAAAAGATTTCTAGGTTGTTGGTTACCAGAGAGCTGTTGTAATTTGTAAGGCCATTAATTTGAAGGACCACTAAGACTTTTTTTTCCTTTTTAATCTTGGCTGGAATTTCATAAGCAGTGAATTTTTTCTCAACACTGGTAGAAAAGTCAGCAGATTCAAAGCAGGCAGAAAAAAAAAGGAGAGAAACAGGAAAATCAGAAGACACAGTATGTTACCTCTATAACTTCAGGTTTTTAGAATAATGACCGTCTCTGAATGGTCATTGATAATATGAACAGTTCTGAATGATCCCCGATATAGTTTGTCTATCAGTTTTAAAATATGCATAAGAATAAGCCATAAATATAGCTGACTGGAGTTCAGAAAATTTGGCATGCCTTAAGTTTAAGAATTCCATTTTATTCCTTATTAATCTCTTGGGAACAAAGAAAATCCTATAAATCCTGTGAAGGAATGTCAGAATTGTAGACCAGTGTTTTAGATGATGGCAACTGCCCTAGTGGCTTTTATTTTAGCCATTCTGAATTCCCTTCCAGAATTTTTATTTTTGCTCTTAAAATATGTTTTTAGAGAAAAGCAAGAGAATACAATTAAAACCCTATTAAAAATAAACTAAGATGAATGTGTTCAAGAAATTTTAACCTGGCAGGCAGATGAAACAAAATACTGAACTAGACATGCAAACCAGAGAAGGCATATCTCACAGATAGAATGTAAATTTTGTAGAAATAAAGAATATTTAATCTACAAAGACACTTATTTTTATTCCAAAAGGGACTTAATACCAGAAAAGATGAAAAGATTTTAATCATCCCAGGAGGGCTATATGGTCCTTTATTGAGATGGCCTTATCCAAACCAGAACCCAAGTAAAGTAAAAAAATCTCTACCAAAAGGATGAGGATTGATCTGAGTAAAGACTCACCAGGGCAGAAAAGGTAAGCTGTGAAGGCGGAGGGCTCAAAGGGCTCTAGTGAGTCCTACATACCAGTTCTGAGAATTGCTAATTCCTTCAGATAGTGAACTTCTTAAAATCGTACTTCTGACATCATACATGTCAACCTGAATAACAAACAGAGGCACTCACTAATAGAAAATAATGTTTACTTGGAAATACGGCATTAAAAATGGACCACACATGCCATAGTAATCTATGTATATTCAGGGAGGCAGAAAAGGCAAAGGTTTTTAGAGGAGAAAAGTGGGAATGATGTAGTTGTTTTGAAATAATCATTCTTGGCTACAAGAGTAATTAATAACAAGGATGGTGCTAGTCTGAAGCTGGACAGGCCATTTCTGGGCAGATGTTCTTACACAAGTATTTTTTGAATAAGGTGATGGCCTTTATGCAAGATTCTGGTCTTTGTAGAGTATGTTTTATTATCAGATATTCAAGGATTTAAACTCTTTCCTCATGGCCTTGCCTGGCTCTATTTTTTAGCGCTTTCTTAGGATTAGTGACTCGATTTTGATTCTGACCATTTTTCACAACATGTATACTACCAAACCCAATGTTTTATGAAACATTACAATATATGTAATATCGCATCGTTTTCTATTCTTTTTCATTTTTCAAAAATACTGGTGATAATCACTGAATAGATCTTATGACAATTTGAATGAGTTGTAACCCACAATTTAAAATCTTAAAACATTGAAAAACTGCTTTTAAAATTGAAGGCATTGAAAGAACCTAAGAGTAGCAAATAGTCTGATAATTCAGTTTGAGAGCAGTTACGTTTGAAATTAAGACTTTAAAGGTGGTACAGCTATGGGTCATAAGAAGGCCTAGCATACATTTATTGAAATAGTAGCTGAATAGTCTGATAATGCAGTTTACTCTGTGCATACTCATAGAAGTTACTCTCAGATCAGTATAATAGATGAACTGAATGTTAAGATTCATTTATTAATTTATTCAAGGAGTATTTCTTGAGAGCATGCCTTATCCCTGACACTGTTCTTGATTGCTGTACATTAATGTACATAATGTACAACAATCTACAACAGAGTCAGAAATGTACATTAAATTATATATAAATAAATCTTTGTTATGGAACTTATTTGTCATAAACAGATAATAACAGATAAGCCTGTAATATAATGAAAAGTCATATAAATAATATGAATAAAAATCCAGCCTTATGAGACAATGGTTAATGACTAATTTGGTTTGTCTGTGTCCCCCCCTAAATCTCCTCTTGAATTGTAGCTCCTATAATCCCCATGTGTCATGTGAGGGACTCAGTGGGAGGTAATTGAATCATTGGGGTGGGCCTTTCCTGTGCTGTTCTTGTGACAGTGAATAAGTCTCATGAGATCTGATGGTTTTATGAAGAGGAGCTTCCCTGCACATGCCCTCTTGCCTGCCACCATGTAAGACATGACTTTGCTCCTCAATCACTGTCTGGCATGATTGTGAGGCCTCCCCAGCCATGTGGAACTGTGAGTCAATTAAACCTCTTTTTTTTATAAATTACCCAGTCTTGGGTATGTCTTTATTAGCAGCATGAGAATAGATTAATACAAGGACTAACAGGGACATTTGATTTTAGATAGGGTACTCACAGAAGAGTCACAGATGAGGAAAAGAGATATATGAAGATCAGTCTACTAAAGAATGTTGAGGCAAGAGGAACAACAATGCAAAACCTTTGAGGCAATAATGAGTGTAATGTATTTTAATACCAAGAAGGCCAAAAGTCTAAACTGCTTAGAAAGGACACTGGAGGACATACATGGAGCCTGATGATACAGCACTTTTTAAACAGTATGGAAAGCCATTGCAGGATTTTGAGGAGAAGCATGGCATGAACTGTTATAAATTTTACAAAATTCACTTTGAGGATGATTGACTGAAGTGGGCAAACAGGAAAGCAGGGAGAGCACTACAGAGGCCTTCATACCAGTATTAGTAATAGATAAAAGTGGCTTTTATTATGGGGGAAAATGCTTCAGGATATATTTTGAAGATAAATCTGGGAGGGGTATCAGATTGGCTGGAATAAGGGTATAATAAGGCAATGAGAACAGTTAAAAATGGCAATAAATTTCTTGGGACAGGTAGTTGTGTACATGGTGATACTCATCACTGAAATAAGAAAGACAGAGGGAGAAAAAGAATTGTAATGAACAATGAAGAGTTCTGCCTTGGAAATGCAATAGTTGAGAGGTATACTACAATAGTGAGGGGCTGGTGAGAGGAAAGTTGTATGTATAAGCTTGAAACTTGGGAGATGTATACAGCTAGAACTATATGTTCAGCATATAGTTAGGTATATAGCTAGAACTATATGTTCAGCATATATAAATAGGTAGATGATATTTATTTATTTAATTTTTTATTGCATTTTAGGTTTTGGGGTACATGTGCAGAGCATGCAAGACAGTTACATAGGTACACACATAGCAGTGTGTTTTGCTTCCTTTCTCCCCTTCACCCACATTTGGCATTTCTCCCCAGGCTATCCCTCCCCAGCTCCTTCCCGCCCGCTAGCCCTCCCCTTTACCCCCAATAGACCCCAGTGTTTAGTACTCCCCTCCGTGTGTCCATGTGTTCTCATTTTTCATCACCCGCCTATGAGTGAGAATATGCGGTATTTCATTTTCTGTTCTTGTGTCAGTTTGCTGAGAATGATGTTCTCCAGATTCATCCATTTCCCTACAAATGACACAAACTCATCATTTCTGATTGCTGCATAATATTCCATGGTGTATATGTGCCACATTTTCCCAATCCAGTCTATCATCAATGGGCATTTGGGTTGATTCCAGGTCTTTACTATTGTAAACAGTGCTGCAATGAACATTATATTTAAAAGATACAATTAGAAAAGTTCATCTTAGGGACTAGTGAAGATAAAGGAGAGATGAATTGCAAGACTGGAACCTGGAATATCCAACATTTATTAATAAGGAAAATGAAGTGAGGCTAGTTAAGGATACTGAGAAGGCGGGGTGTGTATGATGCAGAAAAAAAAAGACCAGAATTCTATACTCCAGAAGTCTAGTGAAGAAAATGTTTCAAGAAGGACATTTGTTTTGTAAAATGCTATTGAGAGGTCAACAAGGACTAAGATTTGGCATTTGAGTTTGGCAAGATGGTGGTCTCTTGTGACAAGGGTCATTTCAGTGAAGTTGTAGGGAGTAAAGCCTGAAGAGAGTGCGTTCAAGAGAAAAGGTTAGATGAAAAGAAAATTAGTGCAGGCTACACATCTGAGAAGATTTGCTATAAAATGGAACAGGAAATGATCAGATATTTGCAGATGCTTCATGACACAATGGGTGTAGGTATTTTGTTTTGTTTTATTTTTTGATGGAACATCTTACAGTACATTTTCTTTCTGATGGACATAATTAGTAGAAAAAGATAAACTGATGACAAACAAGAATACTTAATTTCAGAACCATGTTCTTACACAGATGACAATGAAAGAATTATTCTTAGGAATGTAGGGTTCATTCATTGTAACAGAAATGAAGAGAAATGCTTTGGTATAGATGCAGAATTATTGATAGATTTGGTGGTGGGCAAATTAGATAAGTTCACTTATAATTGCTTCTATTTTCCCAGCAAAATAAGACATAAGACTATCAATCAACAAGGAGTAGAAAATGAGAGGGTGAATTGGCTAGCAGATGAGTTCTTATCTGTAGCATGTGGTCAGAAATTCAAAAACTAAAAAGCATGGCTATGTGTTTTCTCCCATTATGTTTAGTAATAGGAAAAGCATAGGTGAAGAGTTAGATTTTGACAGAAGAACACAATCAAAGTGAGGAAGGAGAAGGAAGATGAAAGTGGTAAAGTATGGGAGTTAAAAGTGTATGTAAGTGGGTGGTTTTCATCATGGAAGTAAACTGGATAATGATAGAGTGGAAGACCTGATGGAGTTCAGGGCTAATAAAATAAGTAGTAAGATCAATGAATTGGACTAAAGATGAGAGTGATTAATTGCCAGAGTGTGGGGGGCAGAGTAAGTTAGTTGGAATCTTCATCATACATTTTGATGCTTGAAATTGAGATTTTAAATGTGGTTCAACTACAGATCATAATAAAGTCTGGTGTACATTTATTGCAACAGTGGCTAAAGAAGTGTAAAGAAAAATAGAGTTTGAGTTGAGACAATCAAGAACTGAGATACTAAATTGTCGAGTAAATCACATCTGTAAATGTTCAAGTCATCAAGGATACAGTGACTCAGTATGAAAACCTTCAAAGGTTAAAGAACGCTTGAAAGGTCTGTATATAAAAGGATAACTAGATGGTATAATCTGATGGAATGTATTTCAGAAGAGCTGCATTTTTCCACAGAAGGAGAAGAAGCTTTCTCAATGTACAAATATGATTTAAGGATACCTACTCCAGATCTAGTCCTTATGGTAAATAGGGTTTGGTATCATCATCTTTGTCATCCTCATTATTCTATTTATTATTATTTTAATCATCTTCAATATTATTACCAGTATTAGTGTTAGCAGTAGTATTGGTACTGGTGATAATACACATGCACACACACACATCTCAGGTTTATCATCTGTTAAATAAGTTTCTTCAAAGTCTCTTTTAAGTCAAAATATACTATGTCTTCATGAATCATAATTTTCCCTGAAGAAGAAGGACATATACTTAGGAAAAAACTGGACATCCAGATGAGTTCATGGATATCCAAGAAAAAAAGAGCTTCCTCCTTTACTATTCCATTCTCTCTTATGTCTCTACCTAGAGCAGTGTCTGAAGGTAGCAGAAACTCAGTAGTACTTTTGGAAGAATGGACAAAATACAGAAAGTCAGGAAGGAAGGAGGAAAAGTTGCAGGTTAGGGACTCAAGCCTTCTGTCATGGTCTTTTTTGCCCTGGCTCTAGTATACATATCCTGGTCGCACTGAAGAAGGATTGGGTTGAGATCAGGGCAAGGCACTTTCAGATCAGGCAACCAGGCAGAGTCTTCGTATAGAGAAGGAAATTAAATTCTCTTGTTCTTAGGAAGCCCAAAGTTCCATAGCAGCTGTTTATATTTTTCTAGTTCCCTAGGGAAGCAGGCAGTAGAAGAAAACTGTGCTTCTGACTTAGAGTGATAGGCATCTTTTTATTTAGCCATGACTACTCTCAAAGTTTCACCTGCTTCAGAGAAAGTCATCTCAGGCATATATTTTCAGAAATCTTTGTCTTTCTGGGGTAAGTTGTTGCATTCTAAGGGGTGCTCTTGCACCATCCCACTCAGGTTTGCACAGCAACACATTCTCAAGCAGTTTCTGTCTGAGAGTATCCCACAGGCACAGCTTCATCATAATGGCACTTAGCATCTCGATAGTACTTATTTTGGAGGCACTCTGCAAACATTAGCTAATTAGTCCTTATAAAGGCCTTGTGGTAGAACCATGTCTATTCATTTTCTAGCAGTGGGCAAGTGAAATGAAAAGGCAGTATCAATAAATCTGTTTACAAGGCCACAGAGGGAGGAGAGTGGCATTTGGGACTTGTGGGAATATGGTCCCTAAGGTGATGCTAAAGATAACTACAAATCAACTGTGTCGCCAGTTGGAGATGATTGCTACTTATTCCTTTAATCCTTTGATGAAAATGATTACTTTTAAAGAAACAGCATATGAGTTACTATTAATAAGAAAAAGAACTGATTTGATAGTAACAGGTGAATAGCACAGGTATAGATATTTAGGGGTGGGACTTATGAATTTGTGCTAATCATTTGTCAAATTTAAATTGTCTCTCTTTCACTGAACACCAAAAATAAAATAACTCCTGGCCATGCTATTTTGTAATATTCTACTTAGACCACACTTTTACAGACTTATATTTTCCATTGTTTTAACCATGCCTACATCTAAAAGTGTGTATTGAGTACTCAATATTTACTAGACGTTCTGTAAGGGAGTGGTTTTCATCATGAAAGTAAACTGGGTCACGATAGAGTGGAAGACCTGATGGAGTTCGGGGCAAATAAAATAATTCCATTTAAAGAAACAGCATATGAGTTAGTATTAATAAGAAAAAGAACTGATGGTAGAGTGGTTTGAAAGATAGGAAAGGTCATCATATTTAAGGTGTTTTCTGTCTAATGAAGAAGACAGGGAAATAAATGCACAATCACCATGAGACTTATGATTCAGAGGAGGACACCATAGACATAGTTCAGGGTAGGTCAGAGGCAAGGAAAAACTCCTAGATGAAGAAATATTTAAGGGAGATCTAATATATGCATAGAAATTAGGCAGATAAAGAGGTGAAAGGGTGAGTTTGGCTTATATTTCATCATAGTAATAAAATCTCTGGACATGTATATTGTTTGATAATGTATACCACATTTTCAAATTTGTTGCTGAATAAGAGATGCCTAAACCTACTCAGAGAAAACCAGACCTGGAATTACTGTCATCATGTAAGACCTGAGGAAAGAGAAACCCCAAAAGTTAAAAGTCGACAAGACTTGATAGCTGAAAAGTGCCATAGCCAGAGCTCAGGCTCAGGAATAAAATCCTGTTCACCATGATAATTTAAAAAAATTCGGATGAAGAAATTAGCTTTCTGATTTTTAGCCCTGATTTAATCATAAAATTATTTCTCTAGATTTGTCTAGAGGTACATTTCATGGCCCGTTCCTCCCAATTGTCCAACCTCATTTGCTACTTAAAATAGGCCCTCTTTTTCCTTCTGAAAGACATTGTACTCTCAATAAAAATGGGAATTTTTTCTTCATAAACAAGTAACACTCAAACACACTGGAAATAAAATCCTCTAAGAAAATATATTAGATCTCTTCATCAATACAGCCAGGTAACCTGTTTTCTCAGCTTTGAAATCACATAGTAGCAGTAGAAGGTGTTAGAATGAAAAAGCACTTATTTAAAACACAAATATTCGTGATGGTAGCAGCAGTGTATAACAGAACTGACCAGGGAAATTGGTTTTTGAATAATTGTTTTTATTGTATTTCTCTTCACTGGTAGTAATAAATATCTCTCTGGAAGAAACGTACAAGCAGTCCTGGATGTTGAACATTTCCATAAATTAGCAGTGTCCCCATGGCAGGGCTCAGTTTTTCTGCACCCCTCCATTGCAGTGAAGCAGTTTAGTGCTGGATAATAGACAGTTAACTGGAACTCCAGGTTACGCCTCATTCTGCTACCTTGCACCATGCTGCCATCTTTTGAATAAAAGTCCCACTTCCCGCTCTGAAATGGAAATTGGCATTTCTAAAAATCTCTGTAGATCAAAGTTGTATAATTTCAGAGATGGCGATTGATATGATCATGGTTTCATACCCACTCCAAGCATGTTCTCCACATTCATTTAATAGCATTTGTTCAACAGTTATTTTAGCTTCTCCTCTTGCCAGCCTTTTATGCTTGGCAAAGACAATGAAAATACAGTAAAGAAGAAAGGCACATTCTCATAGTCTGTATATGAGACCAGATCAATATCAATCCAATAATCACACGCATAAATGTAGAATTTTATGAAGACATCTATAGAATAAAGAAAAATAATGCTAGGAGAACATCGAATAGGTGAGCCTGAACTAGTCTAAGGCAATAAGAAAGTCTCTTCTAAGAAAGTCACTTTTAGGCTAAGAAGTAATAGATAGTAGGTATTATCAATCAAGAAGCAGGAGAAAGTGCGTCCCAAACAGATGAGATTCAGAATTCAGTATGATGCATTTTTAAAGCTGATGGTATCCCATTGTGGGTGGAAAACAGGAATGTGCTTTTTGACTAGAGGTTGAAGAATTAGGGTCTTGAGGACTTGTTTAAGTTTTGGGTAAAAGTGACAGGAATCCATTCAGGTATTTCAAAGAGTAGAAGTAGATGTGTTGAGGTGAAATGTGATCACCTTTGTGATCGGATGCAGGAACCATTACAATTTGCTCTCTTGTTATATTAGGTATGAGTGGTCTTTCAAATGACAAGGAGAAAGAATTGTTGAGTAGTAGAGTTTACTGATTCAGAGCTAGAAATACAGATCAGGATTATAGACATATATTTGATAGTTATTTGCATAGACTTCTGGTTGAACTGAAGCCCTAGGAACAGAAGTAATTACTTAAGTGATAATATTGGTGTGGCTACACATGATATCATCCTTTTCTTTTTCTTTCTCTTCTTTTCTTTTCTCTCTTTTTTTTTTTTTTTTTTGAGACAAGAGTCTTACTCTGTTGCCCAGGCTGGAGTGCAGTGGCATGATCTCGGCTCACTGCAATCTCTGCCTTCTGGGTTCAAGCCATTCTCCAGCCTCAGCCTCCCAAGAAGCTGGGAAGACAGGCACACACCACTGAATCTGGCTATTTTGTGTGTATGTGTATTTTTAGTAAACATGGGGTTTTTCCATTGTGGCCAGGCTGATCTTGAACTGCTGACCTCAGGTTATCTTCCCACTTTGGCAACCCAAAGTGCTGGGATTACAGGCATGAGCCACCATGCCTCGCCAGTCTGGCCCTTTTCTAACATAGTGAACAGAGCAGGTTTGGGGATAGCATTTGAAAATCTCAGCTTTTGACAAACAGGTTTACATGTCTGGGGACACAGTCATTGATGTAGCCAATAAATTGGGCTAGAAAGGTAAAGTAGGGAATATATTAGTCTCTAGGGCTGCTGTAGCAAATTACCAGAGGTTAGGTGGCTGAAGACAACAAAATGTGTTCTTTCACTGTTTTGGAAGCTAGGAATATGAAATCAAGGTGTCATCAGGATTGGCTCCTTCTGTAGGTTCTGGGGGAGAGGTTGTTCTATATTATTCTTCTTGCTTCTAATAATTACTGACTATCATTGATGTTCCTTGATCTGTAGACACATCAATCTTTACTATCATCTTCACATTGCCACATTGCCTTTTTCTCTACAGCTGTGTGTCCTCTTCTTTTAAAGACACAAGTCATTAGATTTAGAGACCACCCTACAACCAGGATGATTTTGTTTTGAGATTCTTAATTAAATCTGCAAAAATTTTATTTCCAGATGAAGCAGAATTTTCCTGACCTCTTTGTAGGACTCACAACAGGGGTGCTTCATTTACCTAGCCCACCACTACATGTCTGTAGTCCCAGCTACTCAGGATACTCAGGGGTGGGATCCCTTGAGCAAAGGAATTCAAGTGCAGGCTAGGTAACATGGCAAGACTTCCTCTTTTAAATGGAAGTGCATTGGAAATTTCAATGGGCTGTACAAATGCATATTGTCATTCTTCCAATCAAAGTTGATAGCAATAAGGAGAATATATATAGAGATAAAATATTTTAGCATGTAGTAGTATTGGCAGCAGTATTTATACTTGGGTCCACATGTGACATAGAAGTGCTTTCCTGTTTGTACTGTATTGGTTACCGATAGACCTTCTTTTTACATCATTTTAGAAGGACGAATCTATGTAAATTTGATAAGAATATAGATATATTTTAAGGTGACTATAGTTTCGTAAGTACAGTTGTTGGAACCTGGCTGAAAATGTACTTGATATTTTTCTTGTCAAGTGTCCTTTTGTCATCACAGTATGGTGACACAAATGAGAATGATTCATATAGGAAATAAGAACTAGGAAACAGAATTCAAGTTGCTGGTGGCATCTTCTGAAGAAGTGACCTAGGAAGAAAGGGACTAAATATATGCCATGACTAAATAGCATCCACAGGAACTAAGAAATAGAATTCAAGCTGTTGATGAGGTCTTTTGAAGAAGTAGCCTACAGGAAAAAGTGATTAAATATATTGCAAATATTTTCAGAGTAATTATAAGGGAAAGAAAAGTGAAATTCTGTATTTACCATTGTATATGAAGACATTCATGATTGCATCGATTAAAAAATAAAATATATGAATATTTAAAATTATAATAATATACCTAAGGAAATAATATTCATATTTTTATAGTAATTAAAACCAGGAAGTAATGTATTTTCACTTTATCTGTTAATCAATCTACTTATTAAGACAGTAATTATAGGTACTATATGAATTCTGGTTAAATGAGAAAGGGAAGACCACAAAATGACAAATTCTCTGCCACACAGAATGTTATTGCTCATGACAAGAGGTTAGATAGTAAAAAAAATTGTGCTAAGGTTGTACAATTTTGGATATATATATATATTTTTATTGTATTTTGGGTTCTGGGGTGCATGCATAGATCATGCAGGGTTGTTGCATTGGTGCATACATAACCAGGTGGTTTGCTGCCTCCATTCCTCCTTCATCTATATCTGGCATTTCTCCTTAGGTTATCCCTCCTTTCCTTCCCCACCCCACATTGTCCCTCCCCTAACCCCTCAACTGACCCCAGTGTGTGATGCTCCTCTCCATGAGTCCACATGTTCTCATTGTTCAACACCGGCCTATGAGTGTGAACATATGGTTTAGTTTTCTGTTCTTATGTCAGTTTGCTGAGAATGATGGTTTCCAGATTCATCCATGTCCCTACAAAGGATACAAACTCATCATTTTTTATGGATGTATAGTATTCCATGGTGTGTATGTTCCTCATTTTCTTTGTCCAGTCTATCACTGATCGGCATTTGGGTTGGTTCCAAGTCCTTGCTATTGTACACAGTGCTGCAATGAACATATGTGTGCATGTGTCTTTATAATAGAACAATTTGTAGTCCTTTGGGTATATACCCAGTAGTGGGATTGCTGGGTCAAATAGAATTTCTATTTCAAGATCCTTGAGGAATCGCCACACTGTCTTCCACAATGGTTGCACTAATTTACAACCTATTGTACACAGCGCTGCAATGAACATATGTGTGCATGTGTCTTTATAATAGAACAATTTGTAGTCCTTTGGGTATATACCCAGTAGTGGGATTGCTGGGTCAAATAGAATTTCTATTTCTAGATCCTTGAGGAATCGCCACACTGTCTTCTACAATGGTTGCACTAATTTACACTCCCACCAACAATGTGTGTTCCTATTTCTCCACATCCTCTCAGCATCTGTTGTCTCCAGATTTTTTAATGATCACCATTGTAAATGGTGTGAGATGAAACCTCAATGTGGTTTTGATTTGCATTTCTCTAATGACCAGAGATGATGAGCATTTCTTCATATGTTGTTTGGCCTCATATATGTCTTCTTTTGAGACATGTCTGTTCATATCCTTTACCCACATTTGAATGGGTTTGTTTGTTTCTTGTATATCTGTTTTAGTTCTTTGTTAATTCTGGATATTAGCTTTTTGTCAGATGGGTAGATTGTAAATATTCTTGCCCATTTTGTTGGTTGCTGGTTTACTCTAATGACTGTTTCATTTGCTGTACAGAAGCTCTGAAGTTTAATTAGATCCCATTTGTCTATCTTTGCTTTTGTTGCCCTTGCTTTTGGTGTTTTAGTCATGAAGACCTTGCCTATACCTATGTCCTGGATGGTTTTGCCTAGATTTTCTAATTAGAGTTTTTATGGTGTTAGGTTTGATGTTTAAGTCTTTAATTCATCTGGAGTTAGTTTTAGTGTAAGGTGTCAGGAGGGGGTCCAGTTTCTGCTTTCTGCACATGGCTAACCAGTTTGCCCAACACCATTTATTAAACATGGAGTTGTTTCCCCATTGCTTGTTTTTGTTAGGTTTGTCAAAGATTAGAAAATTATAGATTTGTGGTGTTGCTTCTGAGACCTCCATTCTGTTCCACTGGTCTATGTCTCTGTTTTGGTACCAGTACCATGCTGTTTTGATTATTGTAGCCTCGTAGTACCGTTTGAAGTCTGGCAGCGTGATGCCTCTGGCTTTGTTCTTTTTGCTTAGGATTGTCTTGGCCATTCAGGCTGTCTTGTCCACATGAAATTTAAGGTGGTTTTTTCCCAGTTCCATGAAGAAGGTCATTCGTAGCTTGATGGGGATAGCACTGAATCTATAAATTATATTGGGCAGTATGGCCATTTTCACAATATTAATTCTTCCTAACCATGAGCATGGAATGTTTTTCCACCTGTTTGTGTCCTTTCTTATTTTGTTGAGCAGTGGTTCATAGTTCTCCTTGAAGAGGTCCTTTACATCCTTTGTTAGTTTTATTCCTAGGTATTTTATTCTCTTTGTAGCAATTGTGAATGGCAGTTTGCTCTTGATTTGGCTCTCTCTTTGTCTATTCTTGGTATTTAGAAATGCTTGTGATTTCTGCACACTGATTTTGTATCCTGAGACATTACTGATGTTGCTTATCGGTTTCAGGAGATTTTGGGCTGAGATGATGGGGTCTTCTAAATATACAATCATGTTGTCTGCAAATAGAGACAATTTGACTTCCTCTTTTCCTAATTGAATACCCTTTATTTCTTTTTCTTGCCTGATTGCTCTGACTAGAACTTCCAATACTATATTGAATGTGAGTGGTAAGAGAGGACATCCTTGTCTAGTGCCTGATTTCAAAGGGAATGCTTCCAGTTTTTGCCCATTCAGTATGATATTGGCTGCAGGTTTGTTATAAATAGCTTTTATTGTTTTATGATACATTCCATTGATACCTAGTTTATTGATAGTTTTTAGCATGAAGGGCTGTAGAATTTTGTTGAAGGCCTTCTATGCATCTATTGAGATAATCATGTGGTTGGTGTCTTTGGTTCTGTTTATGTGATGGATTACATTTATGGAATTGGGTATGTTGAACCAGCCTTACATTCCCAGGATTAAGCCTACTTGATTGTGATAAATAAACTTTTTGATGTGCTGTGCAATTGGTTTTCCAGTATTTTACTGAATATTTTTGCATCTATATTCATCATGGAAATTGGCCTGAAGTTTTCTTTTTTAATTGCGTCTCTGCCTGATTTTGTTATCCAGATGATGTTGGTCCATAAAATGAGTTAAGAGAGGATTCCCTCTTTTTGTATTGTTTAGAATCGTTTCAGAAGGAATGGAACCAGCTCCTCTTTGTACATCTGGTAGAATTCAGCTGTGGACCTGTCTGGACCTGGACTTTTTTGTTGGTAGGCTATCGATTGCTGCCTCAACTTCAGCCCTTGTTATTGGTCTATTCAAGGTTTCAACTTCTTCCTGGTTTAGTCTTTGTAGAGTGCAAGTGTCCAGGAATTTATCCATTTCTTCCAGATTTACAGGTTTGTGTGCATAGAGTTGTTTGTAGTAATCTCTGATGGTAGTTTGTATTTCTGTGGAATCAGTGGTGATATCCCCTTTATCATTTTTTATTGTATCTATTTGATTCTTCTCTCTTTTTTATTAGTCAAACTAGTGGTCTATGTATTTTATTGATCTTTCCAAAAACAGCTCATGGATTTATTGATTTTTTTGTAAGGTTGTTTGTGTCTCTATCACCTTCAGTTCTGCTCTGATCTGAGTTATTTCTTGTCTTCTGCTAGCTTTTGCATTTTTTCAATCCTACTACTGTAGCTCTTTCAATTTTGATGATAGGGTGTCTATTTTAGATCATTCCTTTTTTCTCATGTGGGCATTTATTGCTATAAATTTCCCTCTTGACACTGCTTTAAGGGTGTCCCAGAGATTCTGGTAAGTTGTGTCTTCATTCTGATTGGTTTCGAAGAACATATTTATTTCTGCCTTCATTCCATTGTTTATCTAGTCGACACTCAGAAGCAAGTTGTTCAGTTTCCAAGTAGTTGTGTGGATTTGAGTGAGTTTCTTGATCCTGAGTCCTAATTTGATTGTGCTGTGGTCTGATAGACTGTTTGTTGAGGAGTGATTTGCTTCCAATTATGTGGTCAATTTTAAAGTGGGATGTGGTGCTGAGAAGAATGTATATTCTGTGAATTTAGGGTGGAGCATTCTGTATATGTTTATTAGGCCTGCTTGGTCCAGGTCTGCATTCAAGTCTTAATGTCCTTGTTAATTTTCTGTCTCATTGATCTGTCTAATATTAACAGTGGAGTATTGAAGTCTCCCACTATTATTGTGTGGGAGTCTAAATCTCCTTTTAGGATGTTAAGAACTTACTATATGTATCTGGGTGCTCCTGTGTTGGAGGCATATATGTAGGGTAGTTAGCTCTTCTTGTTAAAATGATCCTTGTATCATTATGTAGTGCCCTTCTTTGTCTCTTTTGATCTTTGTTGGTTTGATGTCTGTTTTATCAAAGAGTAGGATTGTAATTCCTGCTTTTTTTTGTTCTCCATTTGCTTGGTAAATCTTCTTTCATCCCTTTATTTTGAGTCTATATGTGTCTTTGCATGTGAGGTGTGTTTCCTGAATACAGCAACCGATGGGTCTTGACTTTTTATCCAGTTTGCCAGTCTGTGTCTTTTGATTGAGGCATTCAGACCATTTACATTCAATGTTAATATTGTTATGTGTGCATTTGATCCTGCCATTTTGTTACTGGCTGGTTTTCTTGCCCATTAGCTGACTTCGTTTCTTCATTGCATTTTTGGTCTTTGCCATTTGGTACGCTTTTGTGGTGGCTGTTTCTTGTTCCTTTCCGTGTTTAGTGTTTCTTTCAGGAGCTAGTCTAAGGCAGGTCTGGTAGTGACAAAATCTCTCAGTAATTGCTTGTCAATAAAGCATTTTATTTCTTCTTCCCTTATAAAGCTTAGTTTGGCTGCATAAGAGATTCTGGATTGAAAGTTCTTTTCTTTAATGATGTTGAATATTGGCCCCCAATAGAGCATAGATTAGGTCTTTTTATATAATCCCATATTTCTTGGAGGCTTTGTCCATTTCTTTTTGCTCTTTTTTCTCTTGTCTTGCCTTCTCTTTTCATTTCATTGAGTTGACCTTCAATCTCTGACATCCTTTTTTCTGCTTGATCGATTTGGCTATTAAAACTTGTGTTTGCTTCACGTAGTTCTCATACTGTGTCTTTCAGCTCCATCAAGTCATTTATGTTCTTCTCTAAACTGGTTATTCTAGTTAGCATTTTGTCTAATGTTTTTTCAAGGTTTCTAGTTTCTTTGCATTGAGTTAGAACATGTTCTTTTAGCTCAGAAAAGTTTGTTATTACCCACCATGTGAAGCCTGTTTCTGTTAGTTCATTGAACTTTTTCTCTGTCATGTTGTGTTTCTGTGTTGGTGAGGAGTTGCGATTTTTTGAAGGAAAAGAGGCATTCTCATCTTTGATGACTTCATCTTTTCTGTGCTGTTTTTTTTCCCCATCTTCATGGATTTATCCAGCTCTGATCTCAGGGAGCTGCCTGATGAGGTCACTTGTCTGCCTGTTGAGGAGCTACTGAGTTTCCAGGGACTCCTTCAGGTTGCTAGGTAGGCTTCCTGTGTCTTTTTTGTTTACACTGGGAGATTAGGCCCGCCTCTTTAATGGTGGGTGCCCCTCATACCACTGACCTGGAGGCGCTGCTGGGCTGTCAAGGACGCCGTCCCATTGCTACTTAGGCTTCCTGTGTTTTTTGTTAAAACATGAAGCCTAGTCCCACCTCTTTAATGGTGGGTTGCCCCTTTCCTCCACGGAGCTGGATCATTCAAGGTTCAGCTCAGACTGAAGCACTGACTGTGATACCCCCCAGAGTTAGTGCTTCAGCCTGCTGGGGTTTGTTGGGGAGGGGAGGGACATGCCCAGCCTCACCCTGTGTCTTTGCACTTTCAGCTTCCTCTCTCTCAGAGGAGGGGGAGGGGGCAATAGCTTGGTCTGCAGGCTCTCCCCTGCTGGCTTATAGGCTCATGGGTTTGCTTAGATCTGTGTGACAATCCAGGGCACCATCCTGGATTATTATTGAACTCTACTCTTGTAATTCCTAGTGCTTGACTGGCAAAGATCCCCTGTTCTGTGAATTGCTGAGGCTTTGGGGGAAGCACCATTTCTGAACTGGGATGCTGGAGGGGAGCCCCCAGCTCACCGGTCAGATGCACTTTCTGGGTGAAGCAGCACCCCTCCCTGCCTAGGTCTGCCCTGTCTTGGTTTTGCTCACCATCTGACCAGACCTGTTGCAATGAACCTGGTACCTCAGTTGGAGCTAGGAGATCTCCTTGGATGTTTTCTAATTTTTTAAAAATAGATGCCAGGTTGCTTGGCTTTTATGTTTTTGAATAAAATAAGAAATGTCTGTTTGAAAATAGATCTTGAGAAATTAATTTAACCAGGACAATACATTTTCTTTCTTTCTTCCGCACTCTCCCACTTCTTTCGAATTTTCTTTGTTACACTCAACTCCATAATCTTTTTCTTCTCTCAGGAACTACCTTACCTTCTTTTAATATAAAAAACTGATGCCAACAGATTGATATTATTTCAACTTTCTGCCACCAAATTGACACCTAATCACACCTTTGCCCATCTCTTCTTCCTACTAGATAAAGAAGTTATGTACCTGCAGTCTCAGAAACCCAACCCAAATATACTCAGAGTAGAATGTATTGGCTTATTTTATCTGAACACCTGAAAATTGAGCTGAATTTCAGCACAGGCCTATCCAACAATATCATCAGAGCTCTATCTCCTACCTTGGTTCTCCTTGTCAGCCTCATTGTCACACAGATTCCCTCAGTTATATTTATGTATATGTGCTATGTTCTTTTTTTTTAATCATATTCTCAAATGAGAAGTTAATTCTTCCAGAGTCCAAGGACTACCAATTTACAGCTGGGAACTATGCACAAATATAAGTAGATAGGCTGATATTGAATAAATTAAGAATTTTTACAGATATCTAGGTGAGGATACTGCTTCTCATTCAATAGTAAATGAATGCCGTACCTTTAAATCATGTAATAAATTCTAGAAAACTGGCCAGGTGGCATGGTGACTCATGCCTGTAATCCCAGCACTTTGGGAGGCCAGGGTGGGTGGATCATGATGTCAGGGGTTCAAGACCAGCCTGGCCAACATGGTGAAACTCCGTCTCTACTGAAAATACAAAAATTAGCTGGGCATGATGGCACATACCTGTGATCCTAGTTACTCAGGAGGCTAAGGGAAAAGTACTGGGACCCTGAAGGTGGAGGTTGCAGTGGGCTGAGATCACTCCACTGCACTACTGCCTGGGCTACAGATCGCTCCACTGCAAACAGCCAAGGCTATTTTTGAGACACTGTCTCAAAAAATAAAATAAAAAAGTAAATTAAAACAATAAAAAAATTAAAAGTAAACTCTAGAAAACCAAAAACACAGAACATTTTTCATAAACCCTGGGGCAAAATGTCATGGTTTTCCTGATGTGTTAAAATGGGCTTCTTGATTTATCAAGTTTAGAAATTCATGAATACCACTTCTTTTCTTTTTTCCCACTCTTCTTTCCTATTTGCTCCCTTCCCTTATTGATGTGTATTTATCTAATGTATTGCTTTTAATAGTCAAGTAATATTTTATATGATGAATTATTATATATCCTTTTGCGATGCTATCTTTCTGTGTAATCTCAATTTATTTTTATTGCCATAAAAATACTGAAATGAATTTCTTTATATATAAATCCTGATTACTTGTTTCTATAGGTTAGATTTACCAAATGAAGTCTCTTGGAAATACTGTTAGAGCAAGGCAACATTATCTCAAAAACACCCTTTTGTAGCTTCAATACCCAGTCTTACTAAAGTTATGAAACTTCTTCTCACCAAAATACTATTTCTTAAACTCCAAAGAATTTTATTTCCATGATTATTTAGAAAGTGTTTTTCAGAGATGATGGAATGGATTCATTACAGTGGTTTAGCAAAAATTTTAAAGTGGTTTTTTGCTCATTGTTGAGTAAGAGACAGTAGCTCTCTTTCTTTTGATGTTCTGCTGCTGCTTCTTGTCAGTTTCTCACTTTGAACACATTTTTTTAAATGAGTGCTTTTAATTATTTTTTATAATTTAGTGTTTTTCTCAGAATTAATAGTTTAAAGAAATGATCATTGTATTATTTACCCATTTCATGTGAGATTGTCTTGTACTCTTACATCAGAAAATGTTGCTCTCTCATAGAATTTTCAGAGTACTATTTGGCCTCTTATTTCCATGCTAATTCCTGATGCATTATTCATCTGTTTTGAAGACTTTGTTTTTCTCTCACACTATTAATGACAATCATCATTTGGAATGTTTCATGTGCTTTATCTCATTTTATCCTCTCACAACAGTCATCTGAAGCATGTAGTCTTACAGTTCCTATTTTAAATATATAGGGATTAACATATTGAAATAATTCACTCAGGGTCAGGGTTAGTAAATTGCGGAGACTGAAGTGAACTCAGAAAATATAGATTAGTATTTACACAGTTGATTTTTAAGATTTACTTCTTGGAAAAATGTTGACTTCTAGTAGGTACCTAGAAATTGGTATTAGTGACTGAGATTTGAGAAAGTCATATACTTTTTGCTATGGAGAAGAGCAACAGGTACTTCTGAACTCATGCTAGCAATCCAGGTTCCATTAGTGAATTGGTGTTGAGATACATTTTGGGGGAGATAATTTATTAGGTTTCAATATTTAATAGTTTGTTAAATATATAGTCACTGGCCCCTCTTTTAGTGCTACCATAAATAGAACTTTGTATTACTCTGGATTGACAGCTACCAATAGATCGCATTTATACTTTTAAGAGGGTACCTACAGTTGTATAAACCCAAGAGAAATCACAGAAGGGTGAGCAGTTGCCACAAGAACTCTCCCCTAGAAGGAAGGTCAGTAGACATTTTCTGTTTTCCAGTATTTTGGTCCTGAATGATCTGGATTGCCTTACACTGATCCTTGTAAACAGATGCCTTTGCATGTAGATTAAGAATTTATTTCTGTTTATTGAAAATCCCAACCCCTTTGGGCTCTGTTCTAATCCTTGATTTCCAAACTGGAAGCTTCTCTTGACATTTCAGCTTTAGTCAGATTGTCCTATGTGACCTTACAGGTGCTATATGGTCAATCATTTCTATTGACTACCAACGAACTAGTTCTAGGAGATCATTATGGGAAGATTCAGGATCTGAAATGTTGGGTGACCTCAGTCTCTTATTGTTTTTTTTTTTTTTTTTTTTTTTTTTGAGACAGAGTTTCACTCTTGTTACCCAGGCTGGAGTGCAATGGCGCGATCTCGGCTCACCACAACCTCCTCCTCCTGGGTTCAGGCAATTCTCCTTCCTCAGCCTCCTGAGTAGCTATGATTACAGGCACGCGCCACCATGCCCAGCTAATTTTTTGTATTTTTAGTAGAGACGGGGTTTCACCATGTTGACCAGGATGGTCTCGATCTCTTGACCCTGTGATCCACCCGCCTCAGCCTCCCAAAGTGCTGGGATTACAGGCTTGAGCCACTGCGCCTGGCCCCTCAGTCTCTTATTTTATCCTTAGGGATATAATTACTCCAACAAAGTCACATTGTACCAATACCTGGCCACCATTTGGGATCATGCCAATCCCCAATGGTGGTGGAAGCAGAAGAGGGCAAAAGAAAAACGTGTATATTTATTTTTAGAGTTCTATGATGTCAGATATCTCTATGGTTCACAGGCTTCACAAGTTGCTGAAAATTTAAAAGATAATAACCTTGCATGTGTTTGGTAGATAAAAGAGAGTTAACATCACCTACCTTATATACATTTTGTAAATATATAATGGCTCACAAATAGTTGCTACTATTTGTTGAGTGTTTATTATATTGCAGATTCTGTGGTAATAATTTAAAAGGTTGTATTTCATTTCACACTCAGGAAAACTCTGTGACGTAAATTTGGTCATTACGATCATCTCAAAGATGAGAAAACTAAAGTTCAGAAAAGCTAAAAAGGCATTCCTAAGTTCTCATGGCTGGTAAAGGGTAGAACAAGAATTTGATTGACTTCAATACTTTTAACCATGAAACTTACTCAACAGAAAGATATACTACAATAAAGTAATTGTGTTTTTCGCCATTACTTTCAATGGCAAAAATCGCAATCGCTTTTACACAAACCTACAAATAGTATGTAGGTCATGCCAAAAAGTACATTCCATTATCAGATTCTACCAAATAAATAGCATTAAGAAAAAACAGTGAAGAAATTAGATTCTCCCAAACTAGCTGTCCATGTCTTGGTTGTCCAGCATCCTTTACCTAGTCATAGGAAAGAATGTCAAATAAAAATTAAAAACCCATTTGTTATTTGTCTAATGAAAGTGTATCCAGGAGGCTGGATGCAGTGACTCATGCCTGTAATCCCAGCACTTTGGGAGGCTGAGGCAGGTGGATCACAAGGTCAGGAGATCAAGACCATCCTGGCTAACACGGTGAAACCCTGTCTCTACTATAAATAGAAAAAAACAAAAATTAGCTGAGAGTGGTAGCATGTGCTTGTAGTCCCAGCTACGTGGGAGGCTGAGGCAGGAGAATTGCTTGAATCCAGAAGATGGAGGTTGCAGTGAGCCGAGATCGCACCACTGTACTCCAGCCTGGGTGACAGAGCGAGACTTCATCTCAAAACAACAACAACAACACACACATACACACACACACACACACACACAAAAGTGTATCCAGGAAACAAGCTACAGTAAACTGATATTATTTAACATAAACAATAACAGGAGATTTAGTTGTTTGAAAAGAAATTCTTAAGAGTGAGAATTTATGTGAAAATCAAGTGAGATCCCAAGAAAGCCAAGAAATATAAATGAAAGTGTCATGTTCTGGGAAAAAAAATCCATTATTCAAAGACGGTCTTTGTTTTCTGATGATGTCTTAAGTCTTTACATCTTGGAGATTATCTAGGGAATCCTCTTGGCATAACCAAGTACAGAGTTGTCATTTCTGAATGTGTTACTCAATTTTCTAAATTGCAATACATTCACTTTTCCCAAAGACTGAGAGAAAATGAAATAAAGAGCATTGTGAACAAAACAATCTCCAGCAGTTTCCAATGACCCCTTTGGGCAAGAGGTCTCTGTAAAAGAAGGAAAAGGGTAGTTTCTTTATTCCCATCTTGTATTAATACTGCCGTGGAGAGGCACAGTTAAGAATACCCAGTAACGCAATAATTAAATACTCAAGCCAAATACATCAGACTTTATTTCCACTGAAGAGAATGTACACTGGTACATGGAGTGGGAAAGGTGTTTTGGAGGCAAATGTTCAAATCAGCAGGAATGTTACACCTCTTCTAATTCACAGTTTATAGAGATGACCTCTCCATAATTGTCTCCAGTTGAATTCTCTTATTCACTGCCTCCTTTTGATTCTGATCATGAGTTTGAGAGATGACATCTATATTGTGTTATGAGACACAATAAATCTATTTACCCACCCTCCATGCCTCTTACAATGAAAATGGTAATAGCATCAATTATGGCATTTTAGTCTCCTCTGGCCAGTCTATATTAAAATGTGTTCTCATCTTCCACTCATATCACACTACCTATATTTTCATTGTTTACTCCTCCAATATTGGAGAACATGACACGTGTTCTTTTGTGACTACTTATTAGTCATAATGAACCTGATAAAGTCATTGAAATCATCACATTTCTTCTCCCATATCACTTAAGCATATTTACTTCTATTACTAGAAAAACTGTCTTCCTAACTTTGTTGCTGTCAGGCAACTCTCCGCTGAAGCTGTCAAGCTCTTTTAACATAATAGTTCTTTTCTGCTGTTATCACCTCACACAAGACAGGTAATCCTTCACCTTATATTTCTTTCTGTATTCAGTAATAGTCAGGGTGTTTAGATGCATTTTTAAAACAAAAGGCCAAAGGGAGCAATCTGAAGGAATCTAAACAAAAAGGAACTATAGAATATAAAAATATTTCAATGTCACTCAGATGAAAAGGACCCAATATCATCATTGAGCAGTTAACAGGTTGTTACTAAGTATTTGTGGTGTGCAGAGCCTCATACCATGTCATATGCAATCCTGTGGTGAATGTACTTATTTATGTATCCTCCTGAACTACTCATTCCAAGAGCCTTGCTACTCATAGTGGGATCTGCATGTTGGGCCAGTCTGTGAGGAAATAGTTATAGAAATTGAGAGTTAGCATTGTAAAACCTTTATATAAACAGGATAACTTTATGACCATTGAAACTGAAAAATATTAATTTTTTTCTTTTCAGACCTGAAAAACATAAATTTTTCTTTTCAAACCCTAAATGTAGCATTTGAAAAAAAAAACTTAAAAGCTTATATTTTATACTGATTTTGTGCCTTTTTTCTAGTGATTTATATATTTTTATTAACTATTGGTCTAAGACAGAATGGGAGGAAACTGTTCTCACCACAGATAATTCAGAGGCACTGCCATGAGTATGGCATATTTCTTGACCAGCTCTGTATTTCCTCATTGCATCCTGAAATATAATAAAATCTGCTTTGGGCAAACTATCTATTCATAGTTGATATATTCCAAGTGTTATATACATTTTACTATATATATATTAGTACTATATATTCCAAGACCAAAAGCAAGCAAGATGACTAGAAAACCATGTTCCATCAGTGTTATTTATGTCTTGTAATTTCAATATCTTCACCTCTGCTAGTTAAATGAGCTCTGCTAATCAACAGTGTGGGCACCACCTGGTTAGAAATGCAGAATCTCAGGCCTACAGAATCAGAAGCAGCATTTTAACAAGATCCCCAGGTGGTTTTTATGCCCATGAAGTTTGAGGTACATTGGCTCAGACCAATGTGGAGGCTCCTAAAATGTCAAAAACTTCATAGCTTCTATGAATGTCACTGACCGTAGAAACTTCAGTGCAACATGAAGCACATTTCATTAGTCAGGGCTTCAGCTCATAAAAAATAATGCCAATCTACAACTAAATCCCTGAGTTTACTTGATTTTGATTCTAAACTTATTCTCAGCATTCTTTTGCTACTTACATGCCAGAACTCCTTGAACAGTATAAGAGACCATAGTGCCTGTCTATAATTCAGACTGGAAAAGATTGAAATGTAAATCACCCTGGGCTCTTTTAATTTAATATAGTCAAATTCAGTTATCCTGTATTAACCCCAATCTAAGGTACACAGAGAACCTGGCCAGAAGATCTCTCTGGTCAATCTGCCTATTATATAATGAAGAGAACTAGGACAGGGATTAAAAACTAGTGGAAAAAGCATTTGCTTGAGAAGCCCATAACTTCAAACTTAAGTTGTGAAATATTCTAAATTAAAGAAAGGCCTGCTCTTTAATTGATTCATGGAGGAAGGGTTTTCTCTCCCAAAGGACTATGAGTTCTTAAGGAATCTTGCTAAATATTTTCCTATCAACCATTTCACTGTCTTGTCTGGCATCATCTATTGCTGGTCACCTCTTCCTCTTTGCTAATTCTATTCTTTGAATATGTTTCAAGTTGTTGCAGTTTTTACATCTCCCAGAGAGGCAGCACAACATAAAGGAAAAATATATGGCCAGCTCTAGATTCAGACAAACTTTGGCTACATTTTCAGCTTTGCCACTTACAAGCTGTGTATCCTTGAGCAATTTGGCTAACCTTTATGAACCTCTGTGGCTACATGAATATCAAATTTGGGTTACAAGAATGGCAGTGAACAAAATAAGATGTTTGGAAATGATGGTTGTCACCATTATGCAATTACTGTATATGTATAAAAATATGCTGTATAAATGCGTGTGTATAAATTATATATGTGTGCATGTGTTTGTGTGTGTGTGTGTGTGTGTGTGTGTGTGTGTGTGTATGCTTTGTTGACCACACTGAGCTTTGAACTCCATGAATTCTTTATCTTTAGATTTCCATTGACTTGCCTAGTACTTAAAATGATTGCTGAATGGAAATAGGATGAATGACATAATGAATGAATGAATGAATGAATGAAAAGATAGATAAACATTAATTGAACTAAATTGATAGAATGCAATGCTGTCACCATTCTTGATTAGTCCCAAAGGCTATATATCTATGTATCTTCCCATGTCTTATTATCCTTATAGTTGTACTTAACCATAGTGCATTTTTCACACTTCCAGGTTTAATGTCAATTTCTCCCCTTTGGGAAACTCTTCTAGACTAAGTCAATGTTGCTTTTTTCTCCTCCTCTAGATCTGTATAGTTCATATATACGAAACACTGACTTCATCTCACTCATGAGGATTCAAAAATTATGCTAAAGATTGTGTTATGGGAATCCTAGAGGTAGGTGCATTGCAACCTTCTTGAAAATGAACTGCAATGCAAACAGGTTTGCTTTGGGGAATTGGAGTTGATATTTTCGACTTAGGTATGTCTGCCATCTTAGGAAACAGTAACCCTTTCCTGAGAGTAAAATATCCTAAGATCATTACAGCCCAGTTCCTGTAGGTTGTTTTAAACACTGACTCACAAGCTCAGACAAATCTTGGCAAGACAGATTGGAATCAGAGTCAGAATTTGTGTAGGATGTGGCTGTTTGAAAATTGAGAAGCTCATATAAGACCTAAACATAGAGCAAAAAGGAAAAAAAAATTAACCCACACACATAAATCCTGAAGATGGATGAGGGAGTAGGAAGGGGTGTTGAATAAAGTATTGGCAAGAATGAAGACATTTTTTTTGTAAATTGATTCTTAGGAATGAGAGATACATACTGACTAAGCAAGCAGTAAAGAAAGGGGTGATACACAAACAGCAAATATGTGAAGATAAAATAACTTATAATGGGGAGAAATAATCGAATAAGGTCTGTTCTTTGCTACTTAAGCAGGTAGCTGTGCACATATTTTTAGAAAATTAGACTTCATCTGACCTACCTGGTCTTATATGTTCCTTGTCATTATTTTCAAATGTTAGTGAATGAAATATTTAAGCACTATCAATCATTTTCCTTTCTTGTCTCAATTTTTATTCTTCACCACACACTCTTCATCTCTGTTTCCTGCTACTATACCAATTTCCAAGAATTGCCTTTCTTCAACTGACCACACCTTTCTATTTCCCTTGATGCCAAAAGATAATTAAATAAGAAATTTTACTTGTAGTCCTTAATACAATACAAGGGTCAGCAAACTTTATCGTAAAGGGCTAGATAATAAATATTTTGTTTCTAATAAAGGAAATATACTCTGTTACAACTCTAACTGCTGTAGTAGTGTGAAAATAGTCATAGACAATAGAAATACAATTGATTATAGCTGTGTCATCATAAAGCCTTATTTACAAAAGCAGGCAGCCAACAGGCTGGATTTGGCACCAGATGGTAGTTTACAGACCTCCCCCCCAACCATAGTGCCTGACACATTTTAAGTGCTCAATGAATATGAACTCTTTTGAGCTACCACTTTCGTCCTTTTGGAATGAGATTCTCCCTTTCATGTTTCACAGATATTCCATGAGAATTTGTGTTATAAACCAAAACTAAATCGTATTTTGGCTGCTTTCAATGTACCAGGTACAAAACTCAGTACTTTAAAAACATCTCCATGCACTTTTTGCAAAGCCCTTGTGCTTATTATGATCATGTTCATTCTCACTGATAAGAAAACTATTATGTAAAAAGATTAAATAATAAACTCCAAATGATACAACTTGTAAATGCTTATTCCTCTTTGTACTTGCTGAAAATACAGTGCATGCATTCAGTGATTACACTGCTTTTTAATTTGATGCAATCCAATTTGTCTATTTTTGCTTTTGTTGTCTGTGCTTTTGGATTTATAGCCAAAAAAATTATTGCCCAGAACAATGTCATGGAGCTTTCCCCCTCTGTTTTCTTCTAGTCAGTTTACAGTTTCAAGCCTTACATATAAGTCTTTAATTTAAGTATATTTTGATATACAATATAAGATTTTAATTTTAGTCTTTTCCATATGAATATCCAGTTGTCCAACATCATTAATGGAAGAGATTGTCCTTTATCCATTCTGTATTCTTGGTACCTTTGTCAAAAATCAATAGACTGTAAATATGTGGGTTTATTTCTGGGCTTTCCATGCCATTGGTCTATGTGTCTGTTTTTATGCCAGTACCATACTGTTTCGATTACTATAGCTTTTTATTAAACTTGGATGTCAGGTAGTGTGATACCTCCAGTTTTGTTCTTTCTATTCAAGATTGTTTGGCTGTTTGGGTTTTTTGGTAGTTCCACACAAATTTTAAATTATTTTTTTCTTTTTCTATGAAGGATATTATTATTCTGTTAGGGATTGCACTAAATCTATAGATTGCTTTGATTAGTATAAACATTTAAAAAATTAATTCCTATAATCACTAAACATGGAATGAATGACTATGTCTTCATTTTATTTTACCTGTTTTTTATGGTTGTGAATATACAGGTCTAGTGTCTTTGGTTACATTTGTCCTAAGTATTGTAGTTTGTGTAGCTGCTGTAAATAGGATTGTTTTATTCATTTATTGATGTTTCTAGAAATGAAATCAGTATGTCAAAGGGATACCTGCACACCCATTGATATTCATAACAGCCAAAATATGAAATCAACTTGTGTGTCCTCAATGGATGAATGAAAAAAGATAATTTGGAATACTGTTCAGCCTCAAAAAGAAAGATAACCTGTCATTGATTACAATGCAGATTAACCTGGAGAACATTATGTTAGGTGAATAAAGACAGGCACAGAGAGAGAAATTCTGCATGACTCCATTTATATGTAGAATCTACACCTCTTGAACTAGTAGAAGTAGACAGTAGAATAGACGTTACTAGGGTTTGGGGGCTCAGGAAAGGTATTGGAATGATGTTGATCAAAGTATACAAAATTTCAGGTACATAAAAGGAGTAAGTTCAAGAGTTCTATTGTACAACATGGTGACTATACTGAATAACAATATATTGTATACTAAAAATTAGCTCAATTTAGTCATTTCAATATATATATATATATTTCAAAATTTCATGTTGGGCACAAAAATGATACAGAACTCTATGTGTTAACTAAGGTAAATAAATAAATGTCTTTAAAAAAAGAAGGAAAAATATAGAAGAAAAATTTCCAGATTTCATAAAAGTCACATTTCTTCTAATTGACAAAGCATTAAGAAAACTAAAGTAATTAAAATGAAAACAATCCCCAAAAGATTTATTGCAGTAAAATGTCAAAACCCAAAACAAAGAGAAGGTTTCAGATACAATGAGAAAAAGTGTTATTATAAATAAATCAAAATAATTATACTGGTGCAGATTCGTCAAGTGAAGAACTTAAAACTTAATGTAAAATTGCATTTTCCAGTTGCTGGGAGAAAATAGTTCTTAACTTAGAACTGTATGTCCTAGCTAAAATATGTTGGAGAATGGAGGGAAAAAAAGGATCCCAGATATTATGTATATTAATATATAAAATTATAGCCATACAGTCTAATTTGGGAGTTTAAAAATTATTATAAAACACCTGAAATCTTGACCAAATATAGTAAATATAAAGAGAATATGAAGATTGAAGTTTAGATGTTCATCATATTATTTTGAAATAGAGTAACAAAATAGAATAAATTTAGGCTTTGTTAAATTGAATGACCATACTCACATTCATATAATTAAGGAAATTTTTAAAATAATAAACATAAATAAGTATGTGTAAGTTTTAAATTTATGGAATGAGAAGAAAAATTAATTATAGATCTCAACTCAATATGGCAGGAAAAAAGAAAAATATTATGTATTAAAAAGATTAATTATTTAAGAGTTCATCAGATGAAATTTTTAAAGTCTAGCTATGTGGCCATTATAGCTACACTTTAGCATAAAAAGAAGTATTTAAATTAAACAAAAATGGAAAAACAGGACACAGGCAATTAATATGGAATGTCTATACTGATATGAGAAAAAATAAACTTTAAGGTAAAACATATGGTTTGGACTAAAGAGTTTCAACTAGAAACTTAAAATTTAACTATCATAAGGCAAAAAAACTGCCAAAATTACAAAAGAAATATAAATCTTTTGTCAACTTCAGAAAACTTAACACTTTTCTTTGAATAATTGATAAATTTTGTAAGAATGTAGTAGCTAATCTCAAAGATATATACTGAGCCCTGTACACAACAGTTTAAGAATATTTTTTCTTCTAAAGCAAAAATTCAAATTGCTTCCAAGCAATTTTTATTCTACACTCAATGTCCTCTGAATATAATGTAATTATGATTGGATATCATTGTCAGAAACATAACTAAAGATAAGGCATCACCTAGAGATTAAGTCATATATTGTTAACAATATAAAGTTAACAATGAGATTATAATGGAAATTAAATAAACAATAAAATAATTTCTTCATTGCGAATTTGTGAGAAGTTGCTAAAACTGAATTTATGGTTCTTTCACAGTAATGCTTATATATGAAAAAGCCAAAATTATTGAGGTATGAATGCAACAGCAGAAGCTAGAAAAGAAAAACAGGCAATCAAAATAAAATAGAAAGAAAGAATGGTAGATACAACAATGAAGATACAAAAGAAGTTAATAATAAAGTTATTGATGATTATTTGAAACTGATAAAAATAGACAGATCTTTGTTAACCATGATCAAGAGAAAAACAGATAATGCATGTAAATAATAATACATGAAAAAGGGACAAAATTCTAGGCACTGCTGTGATTTTTTTTAAACTCACAAAGGACTATGCTAACATTTTATGCCAGTAAATCTGGAAACTTGGATGACATCTACAATAGCTAAGAAAAAAGAAACATCAAACTTATTTTTAAAAAGGCATATGTGAGCCTATGAAGCTCTTAAATGTGAGACCTCAAACTATAAGAATTCTAGAAGAAAACCTAAAAAATATTATTATAGACATTAACCTGGGGAAATAATTTATGACTAAGTTCTCAAAAGCAATTGCAACAAAAACAACAATTGACAACTGGGACCTAACCTAAAGAGCTTTGGCATAGCAAAATAAACTATCAACAGAGTAAACAGACAGCCCTTATTAAGATAAAGGAGTATTTAAATTAAGAAATGAGAGAAAGTATTCACTACACTTCTGACAAACGTCTAATATCCAAAATCTATAAAGAACTTAAACAATTGAACAAGCAAAAAACAAATAACTTCATTTAAAATGGGCAAAATTAGGCAGGCACAGTGGTTCACCCC